TTGGAAAGATCTCTCACCTGAGATCATTGCACCATGAAGTTTCCACCTTGAGAGAACGGATTCCCAGGGAGCCTTTCACCCCAGGGTAGTAAGTGGCAGAGTCCAGCCCTGGGATCCACCACGGGGACTGCCAATGCCTGTCCCCAGCCTCTGTCCGCTTGTCCTCGGGACACATCCGCAGCCCACCGAGGTTCTGAAGCGCGTGCTTTCTCTCCTTGCAGTCCCGGCCATCAAGACGGAGCCCACCGATGAGTACGACCCCTCTCTGATCTGCAGCCCCGCCCCCGGGGGCCTGGGGAGCCAGTCTTATTACCCACAGCACCCCATGGTGGCCGAGTCCCCCTCCTGCCTCGTGGCCACCATGGCTCCCTGCCAGCAGTTCCGCTCAGGGCTCTCGTCCCCTGATGCCCGCTACCAACAGCAGAACCCAGCGGCCGTCCTCTACCAGCGGAGCAAGAGCCTGAGCCCCAGCCTGCTGAGCTACCAGCAGCCCACCCTCATGGCCGCACCCCTGTCCCTCGCGGACGCCCACCGCTCCGTGCTGGTGCATGCCGGCTCCCCGGGGCAGAGCTCGGCCCTGCTCCACCCCTCCCCGGCCAGCCAGCAGGCCCCGCCGGTGATCCACTACTCGCCCACCAACCAGCCGCTGCGCTGCGGGAGCCACCAGGAGTTCCAGCACATCATGTACTGCGAGAACTTCCCGCCAGGCGCTGCCCGGCCCGGCCCGCCTCCCGTCAGTCAAGGGCAGAGGCTGAGCCCGGGCTCCTACCCCACCGTGATCCAGCAGCAGAATGCCACCAGCCAAAGAGCCGCCAAAAACGGACCCCCAGTCAGTGACCAAAAGGAAGTATTACCTGCGGGAGTGACCATTAAACAGGAGCAGAACTTGGACCAGGCCTACTTGGACGATGGTAAGAAGCTCTGCCTCCCCATTGCCGGTCGGGAAGGGCCCCGGCAGCTGCCCCAGAAGCCCACTGGGGGCCCAGGTGTAGACGCTTCGGGCCTCAGTGTCCGCCCTTAATGAAGGGGCTTGTAGAAGATGACCTGTGAGGCCATGTGACCATCATCTCCCAGCAGGAGCTGGGGTGGTGACGGCTTCAGATGCCCCCTCCAGCCACCCCAGTAGAGAAAGCCAACAAGAGCAGTTCTGGTCACCAGAGTGTCCCTTAAGGTCACAAACTGGGTCCCTTTAACTGCTCCCACCCTCTTTCCAATTGCCAGATTTAGATTGAGGACAGGAAAAACAGGAAGGAAAGAAGGCTAACCTCCTTTTGTTCCCATAGAGAGAAATCCCACTTTCTAGCTGGTCTTTGTGCATGGGAGGGAGGGGTGGAGAAGGCAGGAGCGGCCGTTGAAAGGGGCTCTCAGAAGGCAGCCCGATGGGCAGGCTGCGGGCAGCCCTGCGCCATGTGTCGGGGGAACAGAGGCGCATTGATAGCAGGCGGCAGTGGCTTCCGTGGTGGAGTGGCGGCCGGTGGGTGCCTGGGCTGAGGCCGAGATGCAAGGAGGCCTTGTGTGGGTCTGAAGGTGCCCGAGGTTGTTGGCAGGAGGCCAGGCCAGAGGCGCATCTGGTTGGGCCAGCTGTGATGTGACATTGGTCTGGCTCTCAGGAAGG